TTATGTCCGTATATATTTGGACACAGGCACAATTTTAGATTTTTTCAGGTATTTACGAAAATATATTCAAGCTATAGTTACAGTCCATAAATATTGGGACATCGACACAATTCTAACATTTTGGCTCTATACACCACCACAATGGATTTGAAATGAAATGAGCAAGATGTGCTTTAACTGCAGACTGTCAGCTTTAATTTGAGGGCACTTACATCCAAATCAGGTGAACGGTGTAGGAATTACAACAGTTTGCATATGTGCCTCCCACTTGTTAAGGGACCAAAAGTAATGGGACAGAATAATCATAAATCAAACTTTCACTTTTTAATACTTGGTTGCAAATCCTTTGCAGTAAATTACAGCCTGAAGTCTGGAATGCAAAGACATCGCCAGACGCTGGGTTTCATCCCTGGTGATGCTCTGCCAGGCCTCTACTGCAACTGTCTTCAGTTCCTGCTTGTTCTTGGGGCATTTTCCCTTCAGTTTTGTCTTCAGCAAGTGAAATGCATGCTCAATCGGATTCAGGTCAGGTGATTGACTTGGCCATTGCATAACATTCCACTTCTTTCCCTTAAAAAAAACTCTTTGGTTGCTTTTGCAGTATGCTTTGGGTCATTGTCCATCTGCACTGTGAAGCGGCGTCCAATGAGTTCTGAAGCATTTGGCTGAACATGAGCAGATAATATTGCCCGAAACACTTCAGAATTCATCCTGCTGCTTTTGTCAGCAGTCACATCATCAATAAATACAAGAGAACCAGTTCCATTGGCAGCCATACATGCCCACGCCATGACACTACCACCACCATGCTTCACTGATGAGGTGGTATGCTTAGGATCATGAGCAGTTCCTTTCCTTCTCCATACTCTTCTCTTCCCATCACTCTGGTACAAGTTGATCTTGGTCTCATCTGTCCATAGGATGTTGTTCCAGAACTGTGAAGGCTTTTTTAGATGTCGTTTGGCAAACTCTAATCTGGCCTTATTGTTTTTGAGGCTCACCAATGGTTTACATCTTGTGGTGAACCCTCTGTATTCACTCTGGTGAAGTTTTCTCTTGATTGTTGACTTTGACACACATACACCTACCTCCTGGAGAGTGTTCTTGATCTGGCCAACTGTTGTGAAGGGTGTTTTCTTCACCAGGGAAAGAATTCTTCGGTCATCCACCAAAGTTGTTTTTCCATGGTCTTCCGGGTCTTTTGGTGTTGCTGAGCTCACCGATGCGTTCCTTCTTTTTAAGAATGTTCCAAACAGTTGTTTTGGCCACGCCTAATGTTTTTGCTATCTCTCTGATGGGTTTGTTTTGTTTTTTCAGCCTAATGATGGCTTGCTTCACTGATAGTGACAGCTCTTTGGATCTCATCTTGAGAGTTGACAGCAACAGATTCCAAATGCAAATAGCACACTTGAAATGAACTCTGGACCTTTTATCTGCTCATTGTAATTGGGATAATGAGGGAATAACACACACTTGGCCATGAAACAGCTGAGAAGCCAATTGTCCCATTACTTTTGGTCCCTTAACAAGTGGGAGGCACATATGCATGTTGTAATTCCTACACTGTTCACCTGATTTGGATGTAAATACCCTCAAATTAAAGCCGACAGTCTGCAGTTAACCACTTGCCGCCCAGCCACTGTAGAAATACGGCGGCAGGGCGGCACTGGCAGGCAAAACCACGTTTTAAACCGTGTGTTTTGTAAACAAATAGGGGGCACGCGCAAGGCCGCGGATGTCCCGTCACCGCCGGGTCACAGCCGGTCACAGCCGGTACCGGCTGTTTCCCGGCGATCGGCGGTAAACAGTGACAGAGAGCACAGCTGCAGTAGCTGTGCTGTCTGTCACTTCCTTGTCAGCTCGAGGACAAGCTGATCGAGACAGAAGAGTTTCTCTCGATCAGCGGTGTCCTGTGCAGTACACACCCCCATCCCCTAGTAAAGCACTGTGCTGTCTGTCACTTCCTTGTCAGCTCGAGGACAAGCTGATCGAGACAGAAGAGTTTCTCTCTCTCGATCAGCGGTGTCCTGTGCAGTACACACCCCCATCCCCTAGTAAAGCACTCCCCCTCACACAGATAACCCTTCCCTGCAAAATAAAGTTAACCCCTTCCTCCCCAGTGCCATTAGTACAGTGTCAGTGTTTTTCTTTTTGCACTGATCACTGTATTAGTGTTTTTGGGGATGTCAGTGACCCCAAATCAGTACCCCCCAATGTCAGAATGTCCGCCGCAGTCCCGCCATAAGTCGCTGGTCGCCGCCATAATTCACTGATGGCTGCCCATTATTAGTATAAAAAAACCTCGAAAAATTCCAGTATCTTTCCCGCCATTTGTAAACGCTATAACTTTCACGTAAACCAATTAATTTACACGTATTTTATTTTTTTTTTTTTTAGCAAAACATGTCGCAGAATGTATTGGTTTTTTTTTTTCCTCAAAATTGTCAGCCTTTTTTTTTTATAGCGCAAAAAATTAAAACCGCACAGGCGATCAAATACCACCAAAAGAAAGCTCAATTTGTGGGGGAAAAAAAGGATGTAAATTTCATTTATGTACCGTATTGCATGACCGCGCAATTGTCCGTTAAACTAGCGCAGCGCTGTATAGCAGAAAAATGGCGTAAGTTGTAGTTTGTAGACGCTATAACTTCCACACAAAGCAATCAATATACACTCATTGGGATTTTTTTTACCAAAAATATGTAGCAGAATACATTTTGGCCTAAATTTATAACCAACTTTGAGTTTACTATATATTTTTTATAGCTGAAAGTAAAAAATATTGTTTTTTCTTCTTCAAAATGTTTGGCCTTTTTTTGTTTATAAAAAAATAAAAAGCGCACAGATGATCAAATACCACCGAAAGAAAGCTCTATTTGTGTGAAAAAAAGGACGTAAATTTCGTTTGGGTGCAGCATTGCATGACCGCGCAATTATCAGTTGAATTAGTGCAGCGCCGAGTAGCAAAAAGAGGCCTGGTCATTAGGGGGGTAAATCCTCTGGAGCTCAAGTGGTTAAAGCACATCTTGTTTCTTTCATTTCAAATTTATTGTGGTGGTGTATAGAGCCAAAAATGTTAGAATTGTGTTGATGTCCCAATATTTATGGACCTGACTGTATATAATGAATGGATATGGGCTAAAAGTGCACACTCTCAGGTTTAATTTGAGGGTATGTACATCCAAATTGGAGGAAGGGTTTAGGAATTACAGCGCTTAAGAGCAGCCATCCCTCCTTTTTCAAGGGACCAAAGTAATTGGGCTAATGAATAAAATCATAAATAAAATTTTCATTTTTAATATTTTGTCAAGAATCCTTTACTGGCAATGACTGCCTGAAGCGTATTAAGCGCCATCAATTTATGCAATACTTTACATAAATGTTACATAGTTAGTCTGGCTGAAAAATGACAAAAATCCATCCAGGTTCAACCATTAAAAAAAAGTTATAATCCTATACCCACAGTTGATTCAGAGTAAGGCAAAAAAAAAAAACCCAGCAAAGCACGATCCAATTTGCTCCTGCAGGGAAAAAAATTCCTTTATGATCCCCAGAGAGGTAATCAGATATTCCCTGGATCAACTTTACCTATAAATGTTAGTATCCAGTTATATTCTGTGTATCTAAGAAACAATCCAGGCCTTTTTAAAAGCAATCCACTGAGCTGACCAGAACAAACTCTTGAGGGAGTCTATTACACATTTTCACAGCTCTCACTGTGAAGAAATCTTTCCGTGGTTAAAGATTAAATTTAATTTCCTCCAGACATAAAGAGTGCCCCCTTGTCCTCTGTGATGACCTCAGGGTGAATAACTCTACACCGAGTTCACTATATGAACCACTGATGTATTTATACATGTTGATCATATCCCCCCTTAATCTCCTCTTCTCAAGAGAGAATAAATTCATTTCCTCTAATCTTTCCTCATAGCTGATCTCCTCCATGTCTCATCACTTTGGTTGCCCTTCTCTGTACTTTCTCTCCAGGTCCCCAATGTTCTTTATGTGAATTGGTGCCCAGAACTGAACTGCATATTCCAGATGAGGTCTTACTAATGATTTGTACCAGGGTAATATGATATCTGTCTTTCTGGAATCTATACCTCTTTTAATACAAGAGAGGATTTTGCTCGCTTTAGAAACCACAGCTTGGCATTGCATGTCATTATTAAGCTTGTGATCTACCAGAACTCCCAGATCCTTCTCCACCATTGATTCCCCCAGTTGTACCCCCCCCCCCCCCCCCCCCCCAGTATGTATGGTGCATGCATATTCTTAGCCCCCAAGTGCATTACCTTACATTTATCAACATTAAACCTCATTTGCCACATAGTTGCCCAATTACACAGTGCATTGAGGTCGGCTTGTAAGTTGAAGACATCCTGTAAGGACGTTATTCCACTGCACAGCTCGGGTGTCATCTGCAAAGACTGAAATGGGATTTTTAATCTCAGACTTTATATTGTTTATAAATATATTAAAAATTAAGGGTCCCAACAATGAACCTTGGGGTACACCACTGAGAACCTTAGACCGTTCGAAGTATGAATGTTGTATATTCACATCACGCCCTGCCCTCTAGGAACTTACAATCTAAGATCCCTAACTCACATTCATACATACACATACAAGGGCCAATATTAGACAGAAGCCAATTAACCTACCAGGGTGTCTTTTGGATGGCGGGAGGAAACCCACACAGACACAGGGAGAGCATGAAAACTCCAAACAGGTAGTGTCATGGTTGAGATTTGAACCAACGAGTATATAGGCAAGAGGTTGATGTGGTGTATGGTAAATCAAATTCAAAGTTCAAGTATACATCAGAAATAACTGTTCACTTGACCATTTCTCCAACTTGCAGATTAATGTTATAATCATGCCATAATTATGACCCTACTGTATTGTGTTATTGCCAAGGAATCTTTGAATTTAGGTTTTCATCTTGGGCCAGTTATGGTAAAGCTAGTCAACATCATGGCTTGTTTGTGGTACTTTCTTTAAACACTTTTAATAATAAAGCTGCTCTTCCACAGTAAGTCTGAAATTGAACCATTTCTTTGTGAAGACTACAAGAAGCAGTCTGCAAATCTTGGCAGCAACAGGATAGACCTACCTTATGGAACAGGAAAAGGAGGCAAGTTGTCTTTTTTGCTTTTATATCTTTTTAGTTCTGTTCCATGTTTTTTACTTCTAACTTTTCCCTGCTATACAAAATAATTACTTTTTTTTATGTTTTTGTCCTTGTTGAAAAATTTTCCTGTTTCCTGTCCAGTTGACATGATTGGAAATCTCCCCATTGCAAATTGGGCAGTTCTTAAAAGCTGGTAGAGCTCTTAAAAGGTTCTAACACCCCACTAATAAAAATGACACTGTTTTGGTAGAGTTCCATAACTCTGAGCAAACATAGAAAACACAAAGGCTTATCTATTGGTTTCTTTTTCAAGTCATTAAATCATTTTTCAGTTCCAATTTTGTTATCTAAAATTCTATATATTCAAGTGATCTTGTGAGCATGAGGTCGCTTGTAGGCAAAACCGTACCTGCTAACAGAAAAGTGAATATACTCACCTTTCCAGCTTCCCATGTCTTGAAAAGTTGCTGTCTCACTGTTCTCTGGTTGCTGCAGGTGTTCCACAATTTGGGTTTGTGGAATATTTGCTTCCCCACCACACGCATTAGTTTCTCCCTCCAACTTCTACATTACTACAGAACTTACAAGCCAGCTCCAGGAACCACAACATTTAGCGGGGAAAACAGTTATTCAGTTCCTACAACTGGGTACTATGGATTTGATTTACTAAAACTGTATATGCAAAATTTGGTGCAGCTCTAAATGCAAACCAATCAGCTTCCAGGTTTTTTGTCAAAGCTTAAAGTGTAACTTTTAAGTAAAAATAAAAATGGATGGACAGTCAGGATTTTTAATACAGAAGAGACGTGCTTTGACTCTTCTGAATTAAAGCTGCCTACCTGCCTGTCTACACTTGTACAGTGAGCCGCACAGGCTCAGCTCAATGTACAAATGCGGCAATGCAGAATCTTACATCATCAGTGACAGCGGCTGGCATTCAGGACCCAGAAGCCGGCTGCCCCAAAATACCAGCAGCCATGAGCTTTAGGACAGCGCATTGCAGGATCTGAGGTGAGTATTCCGCTTTAGCCGCTTAAGGACCGCCCTATAGCAGATATACTGCTACAGGTGGCACCTGTGCACAGGATCACGTATATATACTAGTCATTCTGCATTTCCAAGTAAGGGGCGCGCGCCCTACCCGTGCCGCCATTTGTGGCCGCGGATGTTAATCACTGGGTCCTGGTCGGTAATTACCCGCCGGCGCCCGGTGTTTACTGAGCATCTCCGATGGGGAGGAAGATTATTTTGTTTACAAACAATCTTCCTCCCTGTCAGCTCGAGCTGCTTGGGATGGCTGTGCACAGTACAGCCATCCCGATCAGTGTGCTTACAGTGAAGAAACACACCCCGCCCCCTCTAAAACCACTCCCAGCACACAGTTAACTCTTTGATCACCCTCACATTAACCCCTTCCTGCCCTACTACACCTACTGGTGTCACTGGGGTGTCAGTGACACCAATTTAGTTCCCCACCATCGCCGCCATTACTAGTAGAAAAAAAAAATTCCCATTATCTATACCACCATTTGTAAACGCTATAATTTTCACGTAAACTAATTAATTTTCAAGTTTTGGGATTTTTTATTTTTAGCAAAGACATGTAGCAGAATACATTTTGGCCTAAATTTATTACGAAATGTGATTTTTTTTTTTTTTTTTTTTTTTTTTTTTACTAGACATGTTTAATAGCAAAAAATCCAAAATGTTGTTTTTTTTTCTCAAAATTGTTGGTCTATTTTTGCTTATAGCGCAAAAAATAAAAAGCGTACAGGCGATCAAATACCACCGAAAGAAAGCTCAATTTGTGGGAAAAAAAGGATGTAAATTTAATTTGGGTACAACATTGCATGACCGCACAATTGTCAGTTAAAATAGCACAGCGCCGTAATGCAAAAAATGGCCTGGTCATGACAGGGGGTAAATCCTCAGGAGGACAAGTGGTTCACTGAACAAGCCAAAGTTAGAAGCTGATTGACTACCATGCACCAGATTTTGCATTCCTCAGTTTTAGGAAATCACCCCCTTTGTCTCTAGACATGGGAGGCCTGGAAAGGTAAGTGAATTCCCTTTTTCTTTAGCAGTTATAGTTTTAGGCTACAAGTAACCCTGCTCTGACAGCGTCATTTAATTGTTCAGTTCCCATACAGCTGAAAGCTAAAATTAGGTTGTTGTGGGACTGCCTACTGTCTAAGCTGGCTGGAGGTGGACTTACAGGAGGATGAAAGCTCAGGATTGAGGTAATGAATGTGGTTAGCCTCACTGCTATCCCAAAAATGATGCAGGAGGTTGAGCAGAGATACATTTGCAAAATTGCATGCTGTGAAAATCCTACTTATGCTATGCAGTCATGTAGCCCTGGAAAGGATTAATTGACTAGCTATAATTTGTTTTGCGGGTACAACAAATTCCATATGTTTCATCTGTTTGTTCAACTGTGTGCTAGTGTTTTGATAACTACCTAGAAACTCAAACTGAGTTTTGGAATTGGTTTGGTTTTTGTATGCATAGGGTTTTGAAGAAATGTTTGTATTCTGGGGATGAAACGGTTCCACCCATTCACCTGCATGTTAATGTGAGGTGTATTTTTCCCAATGTGTTAGATTTTATGAGCATTGAGGTTTCCTAGTAACAAAAATAATTTGGCTTTCAGAGGTGTTCGTTTGACTTTCCCCTAAAGCAAAGATTCATGGCAAGGGAGTTTTCTTTCTGTCATTTATTCAATATATTATGTTCTGTTAATCATTTAATATGGTATAGTGCAAGTCCGAGGTCCTATAAAATGGCACATTGACTCTGCTATAAAAAAACTTTGTACTCATTTATTAAATCAAAAAAACTTTGAAAGCAAGATGGATTTTTTTCCAAAGCACGCATTGATCTGAGCAAGTTCTGTTCAATATAATGTATAAATATGTGGGTTTGAGGTATGATGTATAAAGCACCACATCCTTTCATAGTTACAAAATAGAGTTTGAGAAAATAAGAATGGGATTTTGACAATGCTATAAATGTATCAAATCCAAATTTTCTAGTTAAAAAGTTTGGTTTTTATTATTACAAAACAATTAAAACATACAAAAGAGAAAAGTATACATAAACTGTTCTGCAGAAATCCATATTGCAAAAGTATTGTTGAAAATATCCTCTATATGTTATCCTCAACATGTGTTCTGTGTTCAGCATCATGGCTTCTTCAAGAAGAGGTAATACAAGAATGATATTAGTGGAAATACAGAAGATATATATCTGTGGTATAAAATAATAAGTTTACAACATACACCGCTCAAAAAAATTAAAGGAACACTTTGAAAACACATCAGATCTCAAGGGGGAAAAATATCATGCTGGATATCTACAATGATATTGATTGGGTATTGTGTTCGGAACGTAAGGATGCCCCATCGTTTGATGGAAATGAAAATTATCAACCTACAAAATGAATTGAAAGACACAGGCTAGTCCATTTTGCTGATATTTCATTTCAGCAACTCAATATGGTAGTCCATAGTTTGTATGGCCTACACGTGCTTGTATGCATGCCTGACAATGTCGGGGCATGCTCCTAATGAAATGACGGATGGTGTCCTGGGGTATTTCCTCCCAGATCTGGACCAGGGCATCACTGAGCTCCTGGACAGTCTGAGGTGCAACCTGATGGCGTCAGATGAGCAAAAACATGATATCCCAGAGGTGTTTTATTGCATTTAGGACAGTCGAGTGTGGGGTCATTCAATGGTATCAATTCCTACATCCTCCAGGAACTGCCTGCATACTCTCACCACATGAGGCCGGACATTGTTATGCACCAGGGGGAACCCAGGACCCTCTGCACCAGAGTAAGGGTTTGATAAAGGGTCCATTGATTTCATCCCAATACCTAATGGCAGTCAGGGTGCCATTATCTAACCTGTAGAGGTCTGCATGTCCCTCCATGGATATGTCTTCCCAGACCATCAATGACCCACCACCAATACAGTCATGCTGAACGTTGTTACAGGCAGCATAACTTCCTCCGCAGCTTCTCCAGACCCTTTCATATCTGTCACATGTTCTCAGGGTGAACCTGCTCTCATCTGTGAAAAGCACAGGGTGCCAGTGGCGGACCTGCCAAGTCTGGTGTTCAAAGGAGCTCTATGGTGCCGGGCAGTGAGCACAGGGCCCACTAGAGGATGTCGGGAGGAGTTGGACTGCCTGTGCAACCTCTGTAGGTTCCAAGTATTGTTTCATGCTACCAATAGTGACACTGACCCCAGCCAAATGCAAAACTAATGAAAAACGGTCAGAAAAGTTGAATAGGAAAAAAATGTCAGTGGCCTCCACCTGTAAAACCATTCCTGTTTTGGGGGTCATGTCAGTGTTGCCCATCTAGTGCACCTGTTGTTAATTTTATTAACACCGAAGCAGCTGAAACTGATTAACACCCCTTTCTACTTCTTAATTGACCAGATCAATATCCCAGGAGTTTAACCACTTGACCTCCAGAGGATGTACCCCCCTTAATGACCAGGCCTCTTTTTGCTACACTAATTCAACTGATAATTGCGCGGTCATGCAATGCTGCACCCAAATGAAATTTACGTCCTTTTTTTCACACAAATAGAGCTTTATTTTGGTGGTATTTGATCACCTGTGTGCTTTTTATTTTTCACGCTATAAACAAAAAAAGGCCAAAAATTTTGAAGAAAAACAATATTTTTTACTTTCAGCTATAAAAAATATATAGTAAACTCAAAGTTGGTTATAAATTAGGCCAAAATGTATTCTGCTACATGTTTTTGGTAAAAAAAATCCCAATAAGTGTATATTGATTGCTTTGTGTGAAAGTTATAGCGTCTACAAACTATTGCAATTTACGCCATTTTTTTGCTATACAGCGCTGCGCTAGTTTAATGGACAATTGCACAGTCATGCAATACGGTACATAAATGAACTTTACATCCTTTTTTTCCCAAAAATTGAGCTTTCTTTCGGTGGTATTTGATCGCCTGTGCGGTTTTTAT